TTCTTATACACTCTGCTTCTGCAGTTTTTCTGTTCCTCTGACCTCTTTTTCCTTTATGGTCAACTTTTTATCCCAAACACTACTGCTTGAAACTCCAGCATTTTGTCACAAAAATAAGCAGCTACTCAAAACCCTTCCAGGAGACAGCAAAGTCATTCTTCTCCCCATCTGTGTATCTCAGCCTCCATATGCCTCATAAGGATGGCAGTCATGTCCTTGACATCTCAAAGTGTGAAAGAATGCTAAACTGAAACAACAGACACATGTAAGGAATTATTACAACTATTAGTGCCATTTCCTGACTTCATGGAGAAGTTCTGTTCCCTCTTACCCTTTGCCAGTCTGGCAATGCATCAGTTGATTCTTCCCTCTGCTTCCTATTTATAGGAATTACTTTCATTCCTTCACTGATCTTTAATCTGTTCTCCATCTTAACCTTTCACACTTGCCTCCAATTCAGCTCTGGAACAACTAGCTGAGTTTTCTAGGCTCAAAGATCGGGAACCCCAGGAGGAGAAGGTGCAGAATAAGGGAAGTTGGGGGAGGCTAACCAAGACCAGGGTTGCTAGCTTTAAGTACCTGGCTAACAGAGACAATACGCTAAGGGCCTCATAACCTACACCTCAACTCCTTGCCAAGTCACTGCATTCTCCTAGTATGTGCCCATGGTTTTTTCCTTCCTTCTCTCTTGGCCCATAATTCCCTGCAACTGCCACTGCTGACCTCAGAAAGCAAGAGAGAACAATTCAGAAAGAAGCTGTTTTCAGAGGACCCTGACTGAAAGATAAAGCGAACTGGGTATCCTTAAAATCTGCATATGGAGGGAGGGCCAAAAAAGCAGAGTTGATATGGCAAAATGGAGCCTCTGAAAGAGCAAAGTGGAGAGCTGCTGCTCCTCTTGGCTGCTTCTCTCCTTGGTTTCTTCTCTTCATCTTTGACCTCTTTGCCTATTGTTTGGGAGATGTGATCCTCAACACGACCTCCTCCTCCTCCGTCACTCTTACAGCACTCATCCAACCACTGTGAGTCCCCATGACGCACCAGAATGTATCAGAGGCCCCTGCTGGGTGGGTGGGATACAAGCTGCAAACTGCTGAATTAGAGTGTCTACATAACTTTAGTAGTACATGCTGTAAAAGTAGCTTCCTTGACCCACATTTTCTAAAGATATTAATTGCCTGGCTTCTAGACTGTAAGTACTCTGGGGGCTGACATGACTTTCAGCTTAATTTTAAAGAGTATATTTTATACAGCATAAGGTCAAGTATATGTATTAATTTATTACATATATTATATTAAAAAGTATATGTATTAGAAAATCTAGACCATTAAATCCCTGCTTTCCTCCCTTCCCAAGTCTCAATGAGCCTTCCTCTTCCTTCATGTCCCACACCTCCGAGAGCTTTCTCCTTTCCGGATCATCTCCTCCTTGCTTTAGGACCTTGGGGTCTCAGATACCATGTTTCCTTGGGGCCTGTATTATGCTCCCTTCCTCTTTCAGCCCCCTCTACTTGCCTCCCCTTGAATGCTGATTTTTAAAGGTACATTACTCCCATGTGACTTTGTGCCTCTGTTCTCACCCTTCAGACCATCTGTTACTTCCCCTGTGACTCACTGCTGGTACAGAGCAAGAGAAAGCTCCTCCTTTCCCACAGCACCAAAACACAGAGTGGACTAAATGTCCTGTCTTTCCTAACACCTCACAAAGGATAAAGCACAAGGGAAAGGGAATTATGGCCAGAGGAGAAGTTAAAACCATAGGGATATGCTAGACTTGAGTGACAGAGAAAAAGATGACGCAGAAGAACTATGATGAGGTGGACTCCTGAGGGTTTTCAGTAAGACTGCTTCAACTTTCTAGAAATCACCAGCAAAACAACAAGAGATGTTCAAATCACTGGTGATCAAAGGAAAGAAAAACATGATGGGATTTTACTTTTCACACATCAGCCTAGAAAAAATTAGGAAGTTGGACAATGCCAAACCTTGGTGGGGACTTGGGAAAACAAAAACCCTCTAAGAAGTACCGGTGGAGGGACAGTCTGATGCATTCTGGAGAGCAATCAAATACTACCTAGCAAAACCAGTATGACCCAGCAATTCCACTCCCATGTGTGTATCTCACAGGGAGGCTCATACACAGTCTAGAGAGGCTGTTGATGGCAGTACTGTTTGCAGGAAGAAACGGGTAGAGGGAAACAGGGTGAGCGTCACCGGCTGGATAGTAGGTAAATGTGATAGATGTACCATGGAAAAGCACAGCAAAGAGAAGCAGCAGGTTAGATGTACATACAGCAACATGGATAGATCCTAAAAATGCAATGCCTAATTAGTGGGGGAGAAAAAAGACATGAAATAAATTTTCTCTTAATATATGAATACAAAACAGTATGAATTTTACAATACACTCAAAATAGATTTACATTAAACAAATTATAATGATCATCATGGGAGGGAGGGAATCAGAATGACTTATGGGGGTAAAGGAAATACACACAGACACACAGACACACAGACACACAGACACACACACACACACACACACACACACACACACATACACACACATCAAGAGAGGGCCTTGTACAACCAATGCTGAAAATTTGCCAGAAACCAAAATTCTCTATATTTGTGACTTAAAAAACTCCAGCTTTAGAAGACAGGTACATAGGACTTGAATAACAACTCTGCCGCTTTCTAAATATATAACTTGGGACAAATTACTCTCTATGAACTTCAGCTTGTTGATTAATATTGAGAATGTGATTCCTATTATAAGGTATTTTGAGAGGATTAAGAAAGAATATGAACCTGAAATACACCACATGTTTAAGGAACATTAATTTTGCTCTAGACTATTATAAACCTACATCTCTGGCACTTTCCCCAAAATCTTTTTGTGAAGATGAAAATGTTCTGTATGTCCAAGACAGTAGCCACTAGCCATAGGAGGCGGCTGAGCACCTGAAATGTGACTAATGCAACTGAGGAACTGAATGTATTTGATTTAATTTAAATAGATATTTGTGGCTAGTGGCTACCATTTTGGGCAAGAAAGCTTCAGATCTTTCTACATGATCCAGAGCAGTAATAGCTAATTGCCTGATGCTTGGCACCTCTGTTGTGAATTAGCAAATGAGAAGAAACAGAAGACATGAGACAGAAAAAGGCAAGAGGACCATACACATTCTGTCTTGGCTCATTCATATGTCATTTTACATGGGTGATTTAATTTGATATATGAGCTCCTAGACGGCAGGTCTGAGTTCAATTAATCATGAACTATGAAATTTAACACAGAATAGGCACTCAGGAAGAGCATTCCCTGTGCAATGAAGAAGTATGAAGTGAGGATGGGCAAAGTACTACTACTAGCCAATGAAACCAAAATTTAAAATCAATCCCCTTACCTTTTTTTTTTTTGAGAGGGCATCTCTCATATTTATTGATCATATGGTTGTTAACAACAATAAAATTCTGTATAGGGGACTCAATGCACAATCATTAATCAACCCCAAGCCTAATTCTCAACAGTCTCCAATCTTCTGAAGCATAATGAACAAGTT